GCCTTACATCCTACATAAAGAGGTTGAAACTTCTTCAGAGAAATAGGGAAGGGAGCTGTGGGCCAGGCATCTATAAAAAAATTTTACTTCCCTCCTTATTAGCGTAAGTCTTATCTTAGTTTTCTGCTCAGCAGAGTCACAGTGTGAGTGCAAAGGAATGTTTTTAACTATCAACATGTGCCTTCCTTGATTCTGAGGTGCATGAGCCACTTGGCCAGCTGGAAGCAAGATCTTGCCATTTGAGGGCTCTAGTTTGGTGCTGCATGAGGACCTTCAAATTTTTCTCTTGGCAGTGCTCTGTTATGCTGCTTAAACATCAAATACAGTAAAAGTTAAGTTTGTGTTGGTTCACATATGTTTTCCAGGATTGGTGCTGTCTTCCCAATAATCTGCAGACCCAAGGTCCTTCATGTGCCTCAAGTACATTTGTTTTTTTAATACATTAAATGTAATTTTAAGTATTGATACTAATACCTGTCCACTGTTAACATAGCCATTATTTTTCTTCAGGTCAAATTAGGAAATTTTGAGCATGAAGTCAAACCAGCATCATCACACATATATTTATATGTTCTTATTTTGCTACCTATTGTAGTGGGCGTCATTATAGGTAAGTACAATAATGTGTTTTCAGTTTTTGATTTGTTGAAGGATATAATCATGACACATAAACACATATACATACACACATGCATGTTTCGCACTGTCACAAACAGTCTGGTGGCTTTACCCTGTTCCTAATAAGAGTGGACAAAGTTAACTCTGATCTGGTGGTGAAGTCCATCCTGTCAGACTACAGCATGTTACAAGACAGTAGTTTTGGCTGTTCTGCTGGGATTACTGACCACCACTCAGTGAGGTAAGCCATAGGACTGACATCGTTGTGTCACAACTTGGGCCCTTCCAGCGGTCAGAGCTGAGCTCCACTCCTGTCCCTGGGGAAGATGTTCCCTAACAAACTGCTTATCCTCAGGCAGTGTTTGTGGTTTTTCTGCTCAGTCTCATTTGGATCACTCATTAATTTGTAGGTCTTTACTAAATTGAAGGGGGTAACTAGTTATCCTCTCCTTTTTTGTCACTCTTTTTTCTGAACTTTTTGACCTGGTTATGTGTTTGATAAATTTCTATTTATTGTAATAAATTTAGGGTTTTGTTCTTTTGTACGGTTGAGTTTCTTTTTAAATAGTGCATTACCTTTACAGGAACCATATTTCATGCCTTTACTCTCTCAAAATAAGCTTTAGAAAAGTTAACAATTTGGAAGTGGATTTCCTGTTCAAAACAACTGTTTTTCCTCTTTAATCCACTCTACTTTAAGTAAGTTGCTAGTAGTAGAAGTGGTTGTTAAGATTCTGTGTCTCACTGTGCAGGTTGTACATAGCAGGGTGTGCTGTACTTTCAAATAAAGTTGGATTGACAATTCTAAGACCTTGTTAAAGGAATGGTTTTTATTAAACATTGGGGTTTAGATCCAGATAACTAGGGCTCCAGGGTACTAGCACACGGACAACAGTAGAAACGGGAATCCTCCTGGAGAGCGCAAGTGTATATTAATCTTTCTGTTTCTTAAAATACTATTAAAATATATCTTGTATAGGGGTTGTCTGTTCTGCAATTTCTGTACTCAGAATCTCATTTTCTTCTTTTTTAGCGGCATTCATAGTTACTAGATACAAATCCAAAGAGCTAACCCGTAAACAGAGTCAGCAACTTGAACTGCTGGAATATGAAATTCGGAAGGAAATACGCGAGGGTAGGTCTAAAGAGATTTATAGAGCTTAAGTACAGCATAATTTCTGAACTGAAAATGTCAAGAAGCTCACATTATATAAACCTTTTAATTTTATAGCTGTTAGAATATTTTTGTGTTATATTGGAGTTCCTGTTTAATGTTGGTGTGCACTGTAGTAGCAGATAACACTGAGCTAATAGGATGTCATGTAATATTTCCTTCAACAGAAGTGGGGGAAAAAAAAATGATTGGTACTTCCCTGCTCATAAGAGCTTCAGCTAGAAAAACAAGCCCTCTTTCCAGAAAACTGTTTTTTAAGGAACATCTATTGGGGCCAAGTTATAATTGTCAAGATGATTTTGTGTCAACTAAACTAACTCTATGGGTGGGGAGGGGGGGTGCTTTTTCAGGATTTGCTGAACTGCAGATGGATGAATTAGATGTGGTGGACAGTTTTGGAACCGTTCCCTTCCTTGACTACAAACACTTTGCTCTTAGAACTTTCTTTCCAGAGGTAAATATTTATAAGTCGTTCAGTTGTCAGCCCTGCCTAATAATGAAAAAGCTAGAAAAGTCAAGATCAAATAACTAAAGTAAATACTACACAGGAAGTGCACATTGTTTTCACAAGAAACTTTTCTTAAATCAAGAATTACCAAAGAACACTTAAGGCTGTACATCTCTATATTTAACCAAGCCTAAATGCTGTAGATAAAGCACCATTGTTGAATTTTCAAGGGTTGTGTGTGCATCCATTTCCTTTTTGCCCAGCCTCGCTAAGCTGCTTGCTTTTCAGGCCATCCTAACTAAGCTATAATTGATCCATTGCTTTTTTTGTTCTCATGCTTTCACTTTCCATGCTATAGCTAATTAAAGTAACAGTCAAACTAGCTAACATGCTAGCTAACATCATGACACTTCCTAATTAGACTTGTGGGATAAAGAAATGGCTCTAAGGTCATGGTGACTTTCTACTCCAAGCTGCTGACAGAAATGGTTAAGACCCTGATTCAAAGGAGTGCAGGTCAAATGCTTAAAAATTATACAAGTACTTAAGTGCTGTCTAGTTTAGCAGTTTGTGCCACTGAGTCAGAGGACCAAAGAGGCCTTACCTTGAATATTTTACCTCTCTTGCTATTTTTTTGCATACATGACACATTACAAAGCTGGTAAGTGCATTTGCCACAGCTTTCAGAATTATATCATGATGTTAACCAGTGCTTACTGGCTGTGATCTCAGCAAGTGGTATTTTTCTGTGTAACTGACAGCAATGAATACAAACCCTTGCTTAGTGCTGTGCTGGTTTTAGGGTATAGCTGGTATGTTTGTGAATTATCTCCTAGTCTGCATGTGTTACTCATCACTGGTGGGGCCCAGACCTGCAGTCTTACCTGCACACTGCTTCACTTTATCGCCATGTGTGATCCCACTAAAAGCTTATTGTTATAAAACTGAACACGTGATAGTGCAGAATCGAGGCCTTTTTTTGTACAACACCAAATACCAGATACTAAGGCAGAATAATATTTAACAATTACATATGCATAATCTTTGTACACTTTGAGTCCAGTTCTCACACCAAAGGAAACTGGGAATATCTCTTCTGGTACTGGTTTGATGCCCCCAGTCTAATTTGTGAGGAATCACTAGGAGGTTCGAAGGAAGTGGACCAAGGAAACGTTACTTTCTGCATCTCCTTCCTTTCAGTTTGTTTTGTTGCCAGGCATATTAGCATTAAAATAGTGGTTTTATTTTTAGGAATATATCTTTTCCTAGTGATAGTCTCCTGTCAAAACAGTAACAATCTGTAGAAGCTGTCTGGGTGGAAATAGTTTGCTTTATGCAAATGAAAAGGAAAGAAAAAAAGGCACGAAGTGTGCCATTCTGTTGCATTATGTGAGGTCAGAAAGGGAAGGGCTCCTCTTTTGCCTTGACAAGTCTCATGCCACTGCACATCCTGGAAATTATTCCAATTGTATTTTGTCTCAGTTTGAAATACTGATACCACAAAGGTAAACTTGCTGCTGTTAGCTCTCTACAGACATGCGGTGTCAGGCAAGTTATTTAACATGTTGTGTACCAGTTTTTCTCACTAAGTACTTACTGTTCACATTGCAGGAGTGTCCAAACGTGCCTTCTGTTGTATGAATGTGGTTGGAGAACAGTGCTCTACTAAACAAATATTACAGATGAACAGAAAAGGCGATAGGGTAGTAGATTGCAAGGGAACGTCAGGAGGGTTGACAGAAGGGTCGAAGTGACAAACCACTGCTTCCCTCACTAACCTCATGTGTTTGAATGATATCCGAATGGTACTCTTTCTGCCTTTCAGTGTGTTTGATGGGCTTTGTCTCATCTAATCTAAGCTGTTTAAACATGGAGATCAAAGCTGTTCACTGAGCATCTTCCGTAGGCAGTATAGAGACAGGCAGCTCAAGAAAGTGATTCATCTCACTGGCCTGACATCTGTCTCAGGACGTGATGAGATGCTTAAAGAGGGAGTCAGATACCTAAAATTAAGAGTGATGGACCCTTTCTTCATTTTGAGCTTCTCATTTCCTGCTTCTTCAGTTTTCTATATTTAATCTGGCTTGAGCTTTTGTTTTGTGCTTAATGCTTGTAGGTGTTAAATGGATATTACATCTGTTCTTAAAGTATTCCTTATGTTCAGTGTGATTTTTGCTTTACTTCAAACTTTGGATTATTATTTCTGTTTTTCCTCGATTTCCCACATTGGGTTTAATGCTGCCATGCTTGTTCCCAGTTCACAAGCATTTTTAACCTTTAATGTGGTTCTTGTTGTTTCACTGTGTGTGTGTTTTATTGGTAGGTGGTGTTAGGGTTGCTGAAGAAATTCTGGAAAAATGGGAATAGCCAGTGGAGCAAGAGGAAGAAGAGTATGGTAGAGGAGAAGAGAAGAGGAGGCATGAGAAAAGGGAGGGATGAAAAACCAGAAATGTAGATGAAAATTAGATGTGAGCCAGCAATGTGCACTTGCAGCCCAGAAGGCCAACTGTACCATGGGCTGCATCAAAAGAAGCGTGGCCAGCAGGTTGAGTAAGGTGATTCTCCCCCTCTACTCTTCTCTCATGAGACCCCTACTGCATCCAGTTCTGGGGTCCCCAGCACAAGGAAGACAAGAACAAGTCCAGAGGAGGGCCACGAGGGTGATCAAACTACTGGAACACCTCCCCTGTGAAGAAAGACTGAGCGAGTTGGGATTGTTCAGCCTGAAAAAGTGAAGTCTCTGTGAAGACCTTATTGCAGCCTTTCAATATAAAGGAGGCTAATAATAAAGACAGAGAGAGAGACTTTCCAGGACCTGTAGTGACAGGATGAGGGGCAGTGGTTTTAAACTGAAAGATAATAGATTTAGACTGGACATAAGGAGAAGTTCTTTACAATGAGAGTGGTGAGACACTGGAACAAGTTGCCCAAAGAAGTTGTGGGTGCCCCATCCCTGAAAGTGTTCAAGGTCAGGTTGGATGGGAATTTGAGCAACCTGATCTACTGAAAGATGTTCCTGCCCATGGCAGGGGGTTGAACTAGGTGGTCTTTGAAGGTCCCTTCCAACACAGAGCATTGTGATTCTATGTTTCTATAAGGAAACTAGGGGCTGGCAGCATCACAGATAAAGCAGATGACAGTAAATGTTACTAGCGTGAATTTGTTGCTCAAGGGTGCTGCTTTGGGAACATGCAGCTGTGTTGGGACTTTACAGGCTGTAAGAGGCATTGCCAAGATGTTTGAGAACTGGGGGCTTCCCTTTGTTGTGGGAGCTTTCACTAGGGCTGGATGTGTGGTGGCACCTGTGCCTCTGTGGAGACTGACAGCACGGACCTCCTGGAGAGTTCATTAGCAAACATTCATAAAATGCTTTGAAATGAATGGAGGCAGATGAACTTAAGTGTCACTTTGTTACAGAAACCCCTTATATCAAAGGCTACCATTGCTGTCCAAGAAGGATGCAGCCTGCAGCACCCCTTGCACAGCACCACATTTACAGATGAGGGTAATAAACAGCTTTTCCTGCGGAGCGTTTGTTGACTGCTGTGCTAGTGCAGCTCGGCAACGTAGAGTAACACACACAGTAGCACTGAAGTCAATACCAGGTCATCTTTGAGAGTTCACTTTTCAGTGAACATTGGCAGCAGCTTTGCAGAAGTTACTGTGTAGAGTTTTTATATTGTAGCCACATTAGAAGCCAGCATTTCCATTGTTTCATTTTAAGTTGTATGCCATCAGGAACATGCTTGGCGTGTTTAACATACATGTGTTAGGAACTATTGGTATAACATAAGAATGATAAATATCACCTGTCTTATATTTTAGTCAGGAGGCTTTGCATCCATCTTCAGTGAAGACATGCCACAGGTAAGTTGATGTAGTGTGATATGCCTTAATTAATAAATATTTTTCAAGAACGATTGTATCCCTTATCTCAGTGTTATCCTAGAACATCAGATTGCATTTTCAATATGTTCCCTTTCCCACATGAGGAAAGTTATGTGGATTTATATAAAAAAGAATTTGATATGTGAGATGCTGTTACCCAATGCATATTATGACTTAGTTAAATAAAATAGGATCTAGTCATGGAAAATGACAGGCAAACGTACCTATTGGCATTATTTTGTGCATATGACAGAAAATGTATGCTCTGCATGTGTGTACTCTGTGTTGTACAAAAATGCATATGCGTTTTTGGTAGAATCCTGAGACCCATGAAATTAATGCAAAATTCCCACTGACTTTAATGAGGCCAGGGTCTTATCCCATATGTTGCTTACCATTTTTCTGAGCATTAAGAATCCATCATATCCAAACTACAGTTTGCTTATTTTTGTTTAACTATTCCAGAGCAGAGACCAAACAAGCAAGGATGACAGCTTCAACATGTTGCATGCTTTAATTTGTAACAAGAACTTTCTTGTTACTCTCATTCACACCCTTGAAAAGCAGAAAAATTTCTCTGTGAAAGACAGGTATAGTATGATTATGCTTATCATCTTCAAGACAAAGAATTAGCAGGAAAAAACAACATGGATTTTAACACACAAATGTAATTTCTACTTCTTGCAAAACAAGCTTGCATTATTCCAGAGCATTTTTCCATCTTCTCCATCTGCACACACTGCAGAAGAAAAAACATTGCCATTAAAACAAGCCATTAAAGAGAAATCAGAATGTTTGTACATGTAAACAAAGAGGCAAAGGAGCAGAAAAACTCACTTCAAAACTGTAAACACTTCCTGCAGTTAGATCAACAGTTCTACAGTTTAGAAATGCTCTGTCACTGGGGCAGGTATTGTTCTGCAGAATAAACTTAGAGACACAAATTCTGTGTATAAAAAATACAAGAGTAGATGGGCTTACATTTTGTATATTTTTGTAGAGATCAGTGAACAGTTTCTGTGCCTGAGGAGGGAAAACTTAGGATATCAACTACTCTAAAGTGTGTTTCATTTATTAAAGATGATTGGGAAGAGAAATTTCAAATATTATAGCATCCTTTTTTTTTTTTTTTTTTTTTTTTTTTAACAGGTGCTTGTTTGCATCCTTCTTGACCATTGCACTACAGACTAAGCTAGTTTATCTAACCCATATTTTGGAAGTGTTGACAAAGGACTTGATGGAGCAGTCAAGCAATGTGCAGCCTAAGCTCCTGCTCAGACGAACCGAATCTGTGGTAGAAAAATTGCTGACAAACTGGATGTCTGTCTGCCTTTCTGGATTTCTCCGGGTATGTGTACATCTTTTCACTACTTAGGATAAGCAAAGAATTTTTTAAACTGATTTCTTCCAGAGGAATTGTTGGAGTTTAAAGCATTCAGTCAAACATTTAACATTATTAATGTGTGCTCTTCTAGTTTAGGTGACTTAGATAGCTATCAAATGCAGAAGAGCACATCTGTAAGCAAGGGTCATGTAATTTATTTGGCTGAGATTTGTGTAATTTTGCAATTCTAGCATATCCTTTTCTTATGTCAGACATTGTTTCATCTCCATGAGGTGTATTATGATCATGCTAAAAGACTGACACACTTGTTAAAATGCAGCTGTACCTTTCTGTGCAAGCTGTTGGAAAGCTACCACGTAACGGAGATTGAAGGAATACTGTCGTTTGGAAAACTAAACTTCTTTCCAAACTTTTTAACCTCCAAACAGCATTGCAGATTTCAAGAACTAAATGACTTCAAGTGGAAACAAGATAAACATTTTCTATAATTTTACTGTCGGTTTATTTTAGCCCACTTAGTAGCACTTTGTTCTTGGTTTTAGTGCTTGGTTTTGCTTCCTGTCTCTCTTACCAGTGTGATAGAATCATGCTGTTGTTATCACTTATATCAGTCCTTGCATTAATACAGCAGCAGAATTGGTTGAGGCTCAGCAGCTCACACCAGTTTCCTGAAACCCCAGGAGAGGCCAAGGAACTGTCAGAGATGGGTTCTCGATACACCAGTCATCTTTACAGAGCTGTGCTAGTGAGGTGCCTTAGCCAGGCTGCAGGAGTGGTGTCACATGGAAACAAAGATCCATCCTTCTTTTCTCAGGTGCTTCCCTGAAGCCTGGGGTTCAGGCAGGAGAGGGAAGCCCCAGTTTTATTCCCTCTTTTGCTGATACACCAGTGTATGTCCCACCACCTTGCTCCCAAGGCTTTTTTGCAGGGACAACAAAGGGAGACGCCAATTCAAAAGGAAACTAATTGTTAGCTTGTTTTCTCACAAGACTGAAAAAGGAAGAAATAGCTGAAGTATGTGTGTGAACACATGTATGTCTCACCCCCAACCTGCTCTTTGGTGGAACTAGGAAGCGTCTGCCAGGTGGAGTAGGAGCAGCTTGTGTGTAGCGTGCTTGTGCACAGCAAGGGGCTGTGAGCTATCTTGCCACAAACTCCAGCTGTCCCTTGCTATTTGCATGAGACTTTCACACTGAAAGCAAAGGATGGAGGTTAGACAATTAACTAGCTAAATCTGCTCAGAGGAATTTTCTTTTCTAATTGCAAGAAACAGATAGTTAAGAGGAAATAACTGAATTTGTTGTGCTTGATTTTTTTCTAGTTATTCATGCCCATTTAATGATTACAAGAATAAACATGTAAACATTGCATTTCTTTCATGTCCTAGGAGACAATTGGTGAACCTTTCTATTTGCTAGTGACAACCCTCAATCAGAGGATTAACAAAGGACCTGTTGATGCAATAACTTGCAAAGCCCTGTACACGCTTAACGAAGACTGGCTGCTGTGGCAAGTGTCTGAATTCAAAACAGTGGTATGTTTGCCAGTTTGTGTTCCCTCCAAACACGGACAATTACAATGTTTTATCTTTTTCTAGGAAAATAAATTAAGGCTCTTGGACACTAAGGTGATGGTTAAGTACCCAGATAATAAAATTGTTATTGCTGACAAAGTTTCAAAATGCAATAGAGTTTAACTAGCTGGTATTTCACCAATATACATTTCACAAATAGCACTCCTCACTTCACAGCATACCTTAATCACCAAAGGTTACGTTTAATTAAGTCTCAGGGCATTAAAATTCCTTCTTATTTTAAAGTGTACTACAAATATATAAACGTATGCTTAGAAATTTTGACTGGTCAGCAGTTCATTGGATGTAGCTCACTGGGTCATGTAGGAAGCTCACTGAAATGACAGCCTTTCTGTGAAACATTTCTGGATTGTCATTTTCTGCTGAAAGCTCTTCAACTGACAAATTTATAGTTAAATCTTCTTATAGCTGTTTACAAAGCTGTTCTTGGAAGTTTCATTTGAAGGTACTTCAAGCTAAGTTACCACAGTGTGCGTTTGGAAACGAAGTTTGAGACTAAAAATTAAATGCACAACACCATATCTTTGGTTTTCTTGTTTGTGCACTGCATTCTGGCATGCATTTGGGATCCAGAGTAAATTTAAATGTATTGCTATATATAGCCATAGGATACAAAACCCAGTAGTTAGGCAGAGCAACAATTTTCCAGCAAGCTCAATATGCCCGTTACTAGTAGACTGCACAGGGACATCTGGTCCTGTGGAATTGATTGACTTTTCTTATTTATAGCACAAATTCAAATTGAGAGCACCTTGGGGGATAGCCGGCTCTGAAACTGCTGAACACTGCCTTAAATACTTTTCCTAGTGCTACTTCTGTGCATGAAGCCACTGATAGGGTCTTGTGGACAGCCTACAGTGGAGAGAGGGGAAGTGGTCTGAAGGACTCGGTATCAGTGGAGAAGGCTGTCTGCAGATGGATGAGGAAGTGAGAGAGCCGATAGCCTTTCTCAAATGCTATTTGCTGCCTTTGTACTTTGTATTCCTGCTTTTAAATAGGAGATAATGATACTGTTATAGGGTTAATAAGTCAGCTTTCCCTGCTAAGGTCCAGCAGTTTAATGGACTTAGTTGAGAAGTGGATGAATGTTCCCTTTAAAATCATCAGAAAAGGAGAGAGGATCCTGCAGTAAAGTTACAGAGCCCTAGGACTCTAGCTCTAGCTGGACAGGGAAACAGTTTTGTTTGGTGATTTGTCCAACACTTACACTGGAAACTAAAACTGTGCTGTGAAAGAGATTTAGGTAGAAGAGTGAGGCTTTCTGGGCTGGGGAGGCAGGCCAGCTGTGCACATTTTCTCTTCAAGAATAGCATTTAACAGGATGCTGAAGTGGAAGGAGTCAGCTTTTCTTCTCGCACTAACACCATTTCACATGCACTGCAATGACATGCAGGACCTGTGAGCGTACAGACAGGGAACCAAGTATTTTCTCCTTTCTTTGGAGGCAAATTTCTGCCTAAAGGATTGCAGGTTTTGTTTTCTAAATGGAATAAACTGTGATCTGAGTTTTCAAATGCATTTGCACATTGGTCACTGCAGTTACATTCGGAGTCTTGCAGTATTTTGTTGGTATTTTGTTTTGCCCCTTTCTAAGGCCCCACAATAGTAGTAAATAAAAAAATCTACCTATCTAGAGCAAAGTAAAAAAAAAAAACACAGACAAAAAGAGGGTGATAGAAAGATACTGAAGCACATCTGCAGACCTCGGTGTCCAGATTTTTAAGGTATGTAGGCACCTGAAGACACAAGGATGCATCTGGTAGGGAGTTCAGCTCTCAAATCTCTGGCAGGGCACAAACAAGGGTGTAGGTACTCTGTGTACAAATCTCTCCTTTCAGGATTGAGACTTAGTTCCAAACTAATAAAATCAGGATACAAATAGGCTCCTAAAAATCAGGGCAAGCTTTTGTCCTAAACACAACACTATGCAGATAAACTCTTGGGGCCAGAGAAGGAAGAAGTGCTGGGCATAGAGAAATGAGGAAGGACAGGAGATATTTTCTAAAATTCAGGCCATTTGTAACAAGAAAAAAAGGGAACTAAGAAACATGTTGGGTTTGAATTGTATTAGAGCTGTCCCTTGGCTGAGCCCCATGCCTTTTTTAAGATGGCCACCAACGTTGGGACCAGCCAGCCCCCTGCTGTTACCCCTCTCTGCTGGAAAGGGTCAGATGTTGAACAGAGATGGGCTGCTGAAGTAAATACTCAGGCAGAAGAACTGAAGGAAAGATGCTTCTAAAAGCACTGGTCCAGTATGAGCTGAGGAGCTGTGTGGTTTCACGCTGTGCTTGTATTTGAGTATTGAGAAATAAAACTGCCTTGAAAGAGACTTAGATGTATCGTGGAGCCTTTTCGCAGGCTGAGGAAGCAAGCCTGCTTTCTCACAGGCACACAAGCAGCTGCACCCCTTGGTGGATAATTTGCTTGATGACTGATGATGAAGTATGGTGCACAGCTGAGTGTTAGCATTTTACTGAAGTGTTTCATTTTAAATAGAAAAGCTACACAATGTGAGCCTGGCATGGGAGAATCTTTTCTGTGGAAAACCAGGGAAGACTTCTTCATGTGGTAGACTTGGTGCTCGGGCATTTAAGAGCTACAGACTTATTTTGAATAGGCACTGCTTATTTTAAAACAGGGATTTGGGCTGTTTAATTCTTTGCTGAAATGAGTTTGCATTTTTAGATCTGAAGGAATGATCTGATTCACCTATTCAGCCAGCAGCCTTTTATTGAAAGTGAAGCAGAACCATGTGGTAGAAGGTTGTTTAAAGTGTTCAACTACTTCATGAGTTAAAAGAAGGGTGTTAAAAGAAGTGGGAGGGCTGTAAGGGAGTAAAGCAGAGACAGGGAACCCAATTTCCTAATAAGACGCTGTAGCTGAGGTATTATTAGGCACACTTTGTGAGAGGTAAGGAAGCTATTAAAAGCATGTGACATATGGGGATTTTCGTCAGCAGAAAAGGACACAACAGCCCTTGCTAGGAAGTGAGCAGTGCAGTTGTTGGCTACAGGAGAGTCTTCTGAATTAGATGCAGATTGAGTACCATACTGTCACACCAAGAGTACAAACCTCGCTTTGTGTAGTGCCCATCTTGCCTAGATTTAACTCGTGTAGCATTTTTTGTGTCAATTTGTTAGCTGTTCTGTAACCTCTTCATGGGTAACTGTTCTGGCTGCTACAGAAGGATCATACAATTAATCTGATTTTTCCTGTTTACTGTATTTCATAGTGTGGGAGACAGGGAAGTAGGTTTAAGGCAATTTCATGGTGCTGTCTCCTTTACATGATTCTCCAACTTTTGCCAATCTAAAGTTTTTCTTGATTTTTCAGTCTGTCTGATAAATGGAAATATGCTTCGTTGAGATGCATAGCTGAACAGAGAACAGCTATGCATCTCAATGATGTAATGAATAAGAGCCCCTGAATATCCCAGATGATTTTTCTTTACTTCTAAGAAAATATGGTATTATCACATTTCTTTATTAAACCACATCTCATATATTATCTGCTGTGGTTATTAATAGCTATACTAAATAATTCATGTTTGAATTTAATTTTCAAGAAAACTACGAATCTGAGAAACCATCTGTAAGCATTGTCTTCAAATGTCATTATTACTGTCACGGCATGAGTGAAAAAATGTTTTTAGAATTTGTTCCTGTCTTTTAGCTAGGTTCCAAGCTAGTTCCTGTTCAAGTAAGTTGCAGACACTTACCTTGTTCTCCTTAAGCAGCCTTTAACAATTCTTGCAACCTGTATTAAGCCTTTGCTGAAGAGCACTGTGACTTTGTGTTGCTAACCACTAATTTCTAGTGCACGAAGCCTCAACTCTAGATATTACTAGGTTGAACCACA